CCAGCAACTTTGTTTTTGTTCATGAGAAACATGGAATTTATAAACTATTTACATTTTCTAACATCCACCTGAAACACGTCAAGGGTAATTTTATTTCAGATGGTGATTTAAAATGGGTAATATCAGATCAAATAGCTATTATACATTTGTCCATGATTATAATTTCCATTGACTTCCACCCAAAATTAGAAATGACTCCATTGTTTCAAACAATGCTGAATGAACTGCTTTGACTTAAAATCCTCCAGGGATTAAATATCCAAGTTACTAAAGAAGGTTAAACTGAACACAGGTGGTTAAAACATAAATAGGCAGCAATTATGATGGCATGAGGAGCTGGTCAAGTGAACACGTAAATTAGTTCAAGTGATAGGTCAGCAGAGATACAGTGGCAGATCTTCAGGGAGATAATTCAGAAGTCACAAAGAAGAAACATTCCAGTGAGACAGGGAAAATAAGGGACTCTAAGGGAAGAACACACCATCCATAGTTAACTAAAGAAATTTGTGATGAAGGTTCATAATATGTTACTTGAAAACTTAGGTTACAAGATGGAGAAAATATGAGTTTTAATTTTCAGTCCTGTGAAGAACTAAAATGTTTTAATTTCTTTTCTGTGGACAAGTGCATCATAATACATTATTATCGGGAGACTGAGGTTATAAGATGGAGGAAGACAGTTTTCAGTTTTAAGAGGCCAAAAAGTCTACTTTAACAGTAAGCTAAAAACAGTATTTTCAAGAAATATAGCACATGATAAGCAAGCTCTTCAAGAAGGTATTTGCTGATTGGAGTTTATGATGTAGGAAGAGAAGAGACAGGAGTCCAGGAGCAGGTATAGTTATACTGAAACTGGTTCTTTCAGAGAGCAGAGGTCCTTAGCAGAGGTGCTGTTGTTAGCACAGAGAATTAGGCAAGAGATGTCCTGAATTGCTTAGAAGAATATATCAAAAGCAGAAAGCTGTAGCTGTGTCAGACAGGATAAAACATCCTACATGACTGTTGAAGACATGAGTTTAAGAAACCCATGTCTAACAATGTGAACATAGGAACAGCAGTAGGCCATTCAGCCCTTGAGCCTGTTCCACCATTCAATATGATCATGGCTGATCTGTGGCCTAACTCCCGCCTTTGGCCCATATCCCTTAATACCTTTGCTTAATAAAATTATTCTATCTCAGATTTAAAATAAATAGCTGATGCTGGATCCATTGTCATTTGTGGAAGAGAGTTCCAAACATCTACAACTCTTTGTGTGTAGAAGTGCTTCCTAACATTTCTTCTGAATGGTCTGGCTCTAATTCTCAGACAATAATAAGTGATCTGACTTAGCAAATTGTCTAAGAGTCTCAGGAAGAGCCATTAACCAAAAAAGAAAGCACAAAGTAGTGCTGAAATTTGCCAAAAAGAAGCTGATTACAAATATGCCAGCTGAACAAGGGTATTTAGACAGGGAGATAGCAAGAACTGCAGATGCTGGAGTCAAAGGTAATACAGTGTGGAGCTGAAGGAACACAGCTCTGAAGAAGGGTCCCAACCCGGGACGACAACTTTCCTGCTCTTCTAATGCTGCCTGGCCTGCAGGAACACAGCTCTGAAGAACGGTCCCAACCCGAAATGTCAACTTTCCTGCCCTTCTAATGCTGCCTGGCCTGCTGTGTTCCTCCAGCTCCACAGTGTGTTAGCTCTATATTTAAACAGGGATATCTCTTTATTGAGTGCAGGTGTGTGAAAGGTTATTTGTGGGAGAGAGTGGTTGTATATTCTTTCCTGATATGGGCAGTAAGACAGCTTCAAATGGTAATTGAAAAATGTAATATTATTCATATTTTTCTTTAGCAATGAGCCTTTGGGTTTTTTTGTCAAAAGTACATTAGCAGCTTCTTTTGTACATGTGCAGTGATTGACACCTAGAACAGAAAGAGAAAAACTTTTGATTTATTAAGAACGAGTTGACTCTGTCATCTGACTTGTAATACCGTCAGCTGGGATGAAAGCAAATTAAAGATAAACATATGGCTCCCTAAAGATAAGTGGTAGATCTGAAAATTGGTTAGAATATAAAGAACAACCAATAATTATAGGTTTAGTAAGAAAGGAAAAGTTAAATTATGAGAGAAAGCTAGCTGGAAATATAAAACCAAAAAGTAAGAGTTTCTACAGGTATTTAAAAAAGGTAAAGAGTAAGTAAAATGCATATTGGTCCTCTCGAGAGTGTTTGGGAAATTATTATTGGGAAATAGAAAGATGGCAGATGAATTAAGCAGAGATTTTATGATAACATTCATCGTAGAGAATACAAATAACATCACAGAACTAATTGTTAATCAGAAAGTAAAATAGAGTGCTCATTTGGAGAGCTAGTATAGACACAATGGACCAAATGGTCTCCTTCTGCACCATAACTATTTTGAGATTCTGACTGAGGAACTTAAAACAATCACATTCACCAGGGAAAGATAACAATGAACTAAAATCTGACAAGTTTCTTGGCCCTGATCAATATTATTTTGGGTACTAAAAGCAGTGGCTTTGAGATAGTGAGTGCATTGGTTTTAATTTTTCAAACATTCTTAAATTCTGGAAAGGTCCCATCTGTTTGGAAAATAGAGAATATGACTTCTATTTGAGAAAGGACACAGACTGATAATGGGAAACTACAGGCCAGTTAGCCTAAAATCCTGAAGAAGGGTAATACCTGAAATGTTGACTTCTCCTTTCCTCCAGATGCTGCCTGGCTTGCTGTGTTCTTCCAGCCTCCTGTTTGTCTACCTTGGATTCCAGCATCTGCAGGTTTTTTTGCCTCTAGCCTAAAATCTATGACATGTAAGTGCTAGAATCTATTATAGCAGGTTACAGCAGGGCGTTTAGAAAACTGTCTTCAATCAGGCAGAGTCAACATGGTTTAGTGAAAGAGGAATCATATTGGGTTAATATATTGGAGTGCTTTGAGTAACAAACAACAGATAAAGATGAACTGATGGATTTACTGCACTCAGGTTTCCAGAAAATGGTTTAGCAAAGGATTTATCAGTAACCAGATAACCCATTTCTTCAATGTCGATAAAGGGATGAACATTGCCAGGCCTTGGGAGATAGCTCCTCTAGTGTCACAAAAACGCCACCCGCAAACTGGAGGAGCAGCACCTCATATTCCGCCTCAAGAGCCTACAACCCAATGGTCTCAATGTAGACTTTACTAGTTTCAAAATCGCCCCACCCCCGGCCTCATTCCATGACCAACCCTCCCTCTCATCCCTACCTCCTTGACCTGACACAACCTGTCCATCTTCTCTCCTACCTATCCGCCCCTTGGACCTCACTGACCAACCCCCAGCACTCCCTACCTGCACTCATCTATCACCATCCCACCTATCTTCCCCAGCCCCACCCCTCCTCTCTCTATATACTTCAGAGCTCCCTTCCCACTCCCCCATTTCTGAAGAAGGGTCCTGACCCGAAACGTCAGCTTTCCTGCACCTCTGACACTGCCTGGCCTGCTGTGTTCCTCCAGCTCCACCCTGTGTTATCTGAGACTCCAGCATCAGCAGTTCTTACTATCTCTTTGGGCGATAACTCCTGTGTTCTTCTTCAAAGTATTGCCATGAGATCTTTTACTAAGCAGGCAGACAGGGAGTTTAAGTTTCATGTAGCATTTGCTCAGTCCTACATTGCAATGCTAGCCTTAATTATTTTTCTATTGAGTCCTAGAGTGGGACATGAACCCATGAGCCTGTGATGTAGAGAAGAGTTCGTTACATGGCTGGCACTACCATCCCCAGGTGACAATATGACCTTTAGGAATGACCTGGTGAACACACCGATGTGCCAGCTACGTATCCAAGTTTGCAGAAGAAACAAAGAACAATGGGATAGTGTAGACAGGAGAATTTTTAAATTATGTGAGTGGGCAAAATATGCCTGTCACTGGTAACTGAAAACAAACTCTGCTAGCTGGGATAGATCAATCACATACCTGACACCAGGCTCTCAGAGCAACTTTATTACTCAGCAATCAGTCACTTGAGGTGCAAATTGCATGTCCACCATCTCATATCAATTCACCACTAAATGATCTGGAATTCTAGAGTAAAGTGCTTACCATGTGAGAGAGTGACTCTGGTGTCTGCTGATTACTAATGTTGCCATTGAACAATTTGCTTATACCTGTGGAGTTAACAACGAAATATGATGACATGTTATGTTGAAAGCAATGATGGGAGACATGATTCTCTGCTACAATCTGTCCCTCAACAGCAACTCCAACCACTGTTCCAAAGGCTTCCATTGTCATACCTGTTGAGGCAAAGATGAAAATAAAAGTAAAGTCCCATTTTATCATCACAATGAAATGTGGTATTGCCAGTTCATGCGCCGACAAGCCAACAATTTAATAGAATAAGTTTACTGTCAAGCAACTATTTCTCCAATGGAGGTGAATTTTTTTGACGACTACAGAGTTCACACAATATTAACGACAGAAACAGATTAACATATTGCCCCAGATATTCCAACCAGGAAACCTTGTTTCCAATCCTGGAACACAAACAGAAGTTGCTGGAAAAGCTCAGCAGGTCTGGCAGCATCTGTGAAGAGAAATCAGAGTTAATGTTTTGGGTCTGGTGACCCTTCCTCAGAACCAATCCTGATTTGGTTCAAGATTTTGCACTTACTTTTAGATGTTCTAGGTGATGGAGATTCCTGGAAAGAGGCGTTATGTCTAGGAAATACTGAATCCACCAGCGAAGGGAACTGGTGTAGTGCCTCCTTTGAAGAAGTCAATGTACTGTATTCTGTGATGTATATGACCAGCCACATATCCTGTTACTTTGACAGAGTTACTGAGGGAAGTGTGGGGTTAGGGTGGCAGCTGGTTAAGAGTTTAGGATGCCAAGTGGGTGAGAGAGTAGTGCGAAATGGAAGTGGGATTCCAGGTGGATAGCAAGTGGGTGAGGTTGGTTGTGTGCCAGGAGGTCAGGGTGTCAGGCAGGTGGGTGAGTTGGGTTGGGATGGGTGGTATTCCAGGGTGCCACATAAGTGAATGAGTACTTAATACAGATGGGGAGATTTGGGTCGGGGAACTCCAGCTAGCAAAGTGGGGTGGAATCTGTTCGGGGTATGATAATCAGGGGTCTGGGCAGTGTAAGGGATTCAAGAGATATAGTTGGGGGAACAGTAGTGAATGGGAAGAGTTAACAAGGAGTTAGAGTATGTACTTAATTTACTAACTTGCCTGGATAAACATTAATTTTACCGAGTCGGCACCTCCAAAGTTTACAAGGGGCTTCAGATGCGATGGAATTTTCCATTGGAAGTTTCAACTTCCTGGCCATTTCCCATGGAGTCTGCAGTGTCAGGGACTCTGCATGATCCTGGTGCATGACTCAAGGCCATTCTGCTCCAATGACTGTCTGGCCATCGGAATATCTGGAATATTGGGTGGAATTTTCCCAGTCCCTGAATAACGTGACCATTGGTGGGTTAGTTGGGAAAACATAGCAAACTCAGTAACATTAGATTTTCAGCTTCAAGAAAATAAAGTCGAATTGTACAGTTAAGGTTTGCAAGGCAAGATGAGAATCTGTTTAGTGAGCGGCGAGAGACTTATTTTTACCTAAGCTTGCCTCATTGATATGCTATTCTCCTACATGTCAGAGAGAAACCAAACATCTAGATTGATTAATTGACTGTTTGATTGATTGATTTATTGTCACATGTACCAAAATAGAGTGAAAAACTTTGTTTACGAGCGGTACAGGAAAATCACAGCAAGCAAAAAATGTACAGATCAAAAAGACTTAGAGGTATAGAGGTTACATTATTTGAGGCTAGAATCCATTCAACAGTCTGGAAAGAAGCTGTCCTGAACCTGCTTGTGCTTGTGTTCAGGCTTCTGGATCTTCTGCCTGATGGAAGAGGTTGTAGGAGATCATTAACAGGGTGGGAGGGGTCTTTGATGATGTTGGCCGCCTTTCTGCGGCAGCGAGCCATGTAAATACCGTCCATGGATGGAAGGTTGGATTCTGTGATGGTCTGGGCTGTGCACACCACCTTCTGTAGTTTCTTATGGTCCTGGGCAGAGCAGTTGCTATACCAGGCCATTATGCTTTCAATGGTACATCTGTAGAACTTGGTGAGGGACCTTACGGACATGCCGAATTTCCTGAGCTGCCCTGAGGAAGAAGAGTCATTGTTGTGCCTTCTTGACTGTTGCATCTACGTTGGAAGTCCAGGACAGGTCATCGGTTATCGTCACTCTGAGGAACTTGATGATCTTCACTCTCTCAACCTCAGTTCTATTGATGTAGATGGGGACGTGTTCTCCTCCTTTCATTCTGATGTTAATGATCCATTCTTTAGTTTTGTCGATGTTGAGAGACAGATTGTTTTCATTGCACCATGTCACCAAGCTCTTTATCTCCCTTCTGTATTTTGACTTGTCGTTGTTAGATATCCGTCCCACTATGGTGGTGTCATCAGCGAACTTGTAGATGGCGTTCGTTTGGAATTTGACAACACAGTTGTAGGTGTAAAGAGAGCAGAGAGTTCTCATTATGAAAATCAGAGTGGCTACGTAGTAACTCCGGCTCATTGCTCGCTCCTCTGGGTCTCCATCTTGGACCGTAGCCAGAACATCTCGCTCCATGGGCAGTGACCACTCCCCATACATCCCTGCCCACCTCCCAACCCCCCCCCCTCCACCCCATGGAGATTGGCATCAATTACATACCAGCCTCACTGCATCATGGCCCATCCCTGATCTGCTGGACTTTGGATTGACGAAACCTCCATCATTGTCATACCCTATGCGCAGGGGCAAATATCCATTTCCTGATTGGTTCAGGCTGCAATGTCAGGGTCCTCATTTTCTCTCTTAGCGTTCACTCACTTTGCTCCTGTGTGGATACTCGTCGTCTTTCTGCTTTGCCCTTTTCTGCGTCAGTCAAAATGGACAGGATGACCGTACTTCTGTCGTGCCTTGCCACTGAGCAGACACAAAGCCAGGAGGTCGTGGTTATCAGCAGTGATCAGTCCTGACTGATGGGTGGGCCTGTTGCTGTACAGCACTGGACTATGTTAATGCTACAACTTTACCGTCCACCAACACATCCACAACAAACCACACCGCACACACTTCAAACAAGCTCCCATCTCTCAAAGTCTGAGGGGAGTCGTCTTTGGCCGGGTCAGGGGAGACAATATTCAGTCAGGGAGAACATTCAAGGGCAGCTTCTGATACTAGTCCAGGGGCTTGGACGAGGCCAGGCAGCTACTTGGGGCAGGATAGCTATCATTCAGAGAGAGTTGGAACATTATGTGATGCTGAGGATGGCTTGGTTACGTACCTTCATTCTGTAGTTGTAGCTAAACTGACATTCGGTCACACACCTGCTGATGAAAAGTGAACATCGGTTTACAGTTTGACAATGTCTTCAGCATAAAGTGTCACCTACGTGGAGTCAGAATGTTTTCTTCTTCCTTTCCCTCCACTACATCTAATTACAGACCCAGGATCCACAGCTGGTGTTGCGGGGAGGCTATCCAATGGTGGAGTTTGTTGGCCTTGGAGTTTTGGGCAGGTGACCACGGGGGTATTAGTGTTTGGAGGATGCAGACACACTGAGTGCATCCTGCCCAGAGGCAGCTTTACCCTCTTCAGCTTGAAAGTTGCAGTCAGGTTGAAAGCAGAAGGCCTGGCCACCTCTCTGGCAGGTCCTGATAGGAAACTTCTGGGAGACCTCCTCAGTGTTGTTGCTCCAAATGACTGGCAGCATCCTGTTTCTTTGTGAGCAATGAGCACCTGGACTGAGATCAGGGTTCTTTGTTTCCTGCTGTCACTTCGCCATTGATGTTCAGCAGGTCGTAGAGTCGTACAGCATGGAAACTGACCTTTCGGTCCATCTCATCCAAACACCAACCAAGTTTCCCAAAGTAAACTAGTCCCACTTTCCTGTGTTTGGCTCACATCCCTCTAAACCTTTCCTATTCATGTTCCTGTCCAAACCTGCACCTATCAATTCCTCTGGCACTTCATTCCACATACGAACCACGCTCAGTGTGAAAAAGTTGCCCTTCAGGTCCCTTTTAAATCTTTCTCCTCTCACATTAAAAATATGGCCCCTGGTTTTGAACTCCCCCATCCTGGGAAAAGACCTTTGCTATTCACCGTATCTATGCCTCTCACAATTTTATGAACCTCTAAAAGACCATCCCTCAACCTCCTACGCTCCAGTGAACAAAGTCGCAACCTATTCAGCCTCACCTTATAACTCAAAAACTTGGGTCCGTCCGGCAGTCTCTGAATGTGTTCTCCAACCTGTCCATGGAGGCAGACAGACCCTGGCATTCCTGAGGCAGGAAACTCGCAATGGCAGTCCTGCAGCCTTTGGGTCAGGTTGTTCAGTATCCCTGACAAACCTGACTGCTGCTCCCCATGTTTGCTTGTTGATGTCGATAAGGTTCGGAACTGCCAACGCAGCAGGCTCCTCTCCTGCCTGGGGCTGAGCAGGTGCCCGGTCTCTGACAATGCTCTGAGTGCCAGCAACCTGGTGGCATTTCTTCCTTGGCCACCCTTATAGATGTGGCAGTGGTGTACTCACCAGGAGGTGCAATCAATTCTAATCTGTCCAACGTACCCTCCCCTCCCCCCTGCACCCCCCATCCCACCGCGAGATTGTCAATATCTGAGCTGGTGGAGGATGAAGCGGGTGGTCTGTGGCATCTTGCTCAGAGCTGGAGACGGGGGAATGTCTCGTGGTGCTGCACCAGAGACTATGGTCTTGCTGCTTGTGTCTTCAGGAGATAAAACAGAGGATATGGCGCAACCAAGGGGTTGAGATTTTGTCATGTTTAGAGCTCGTTCACGTTGGGGGATGATGGGATAGTAGCATAACAGAGGACAATGCTTCTTACTCATTTGCCAAGATATGGATGTTTCTGCATCTCTACAGCATGAGTCCTGGTCCTCACCAGGAGAGTCAAAATGGGGTGGAGAGGGGGAGTGGGGGGGTGCAAGATCAGGCACAGCCCACCCTTTCAGCCTTCTTTCGGCTCTATAATGAGCTGTTTTCTTCTGGAATGAGACAAAGGGAGAGATTAGATCAGATGAAATGGGTGGCACAGCTGTTAGTGCTCATGTGGATAGGGGGTAATCTAGAGGTGCCCACAGCAAGGGAGAAGTTGGAGAAGGGTTTATAAGGTGTGTGTCTGTACGTGCGTATGTCTGTGTGTGTGAGTGTGTGTGAGTGTGTGTGTGTGTGTGCGCGCGCGCGCGCATGTATGAGTGGGTATCTGTGTGTGTGTGTGTGTGTATGCATGTATGAGTGGGTATGTGTGTGTGTGCATGTGTGTGCATGTGTGTGCACGTGTGTGTGCGCGCGCACATGTGCGTGTGATTGGGTGATTGTGTACGCGTTTGTGTGTGTGTCTGTGCGTGTGTTTTGGGGGTGTTGTGTGTGGGGTGGGGGTATGTTGGGGTGGGGCTGGTGGAGTGAGTGAGGGAAGATGTCGCTGGCGATAGTGAGAGCGGTGGAACATGATCCTTGGTGAGAGGTGGGTGCACTGGCAAAAGTAGATTGTGTTAGAGGCAACAAAGAGAACATGGTGGCACTTAGCCTGGCAGAGCAGAGTTGTGGCACTGCTGGATGTTCCTCCAGATGTTTATATCTGCAGAAGGCAGACAGGGTCTGGTGACATGCTCTACTCTGCTGGTCCTGTGGAAACAACACGTCTCTCCTTGGCACCATCCCATCCACCAGGATGTCTAGGTCTCTGTCAACAAAGCAAGGTGCCCATTTCCTCAGGTATGCCACAAAATGTCTCAAACCATTACAGGGCTGCTCCAGACTGCCAGAGTCTGACTGTGTAGACTATGGCCTTTTAAAGATGGCACCAGAAGATCCCAGGACATTTATTTTCTAATCAACCTGTTCTGGGATGTTATTACACACCTCTGAAGCAGGTGGGACTTGAAGCTGGGCCTCCTAGCTCAGAGATAGGGGCACTACCACAACATCACGAGCGCCACAGATCCGGAGATATCCCAGCAATATTTTGAGTTGTGATAAATGGGAGAATCAGGCTAGCAGCAGATGATTGTTGTGCCATAGCAACATGGTACCAAGGTAATGAGGTGAGTTTGGTTCAACAGCACAAAAAAGCTTGCTAGGCCTCAGATAGAATCCCTCCTCAAAACCCAACAAAAATGGCACTTTGCAGATTTCTAGTAAGATTGAACACAGAGTTAAAAAGGGGGCTGGAGAGAAAGTACAATTTTAAGTCCTCACAAGCAATTTGTTCAGAAGGGATGCTAACAAATCTAAACTGGAACCTAAGCAATCCGTAATTCCCTCAATTCCAGTTTTAACAGAGATGGGAAGCAGGTTGTTGATTTAAATAACTTAGCGAGGCCACTTGCCTTCATTATAACAATAATTATAACAATTTATCTTTCCATCTATTCAATTTTCTTGTACAAGCGTCTTCCTTGAAACAGTACATTAAATCTGAAACAATCGATTCCAAATTAAGACATTGGAAGAAAAACAGAAGTTGCTGGAAAAGCTCAGCAGGTCTGGCAGCATCTGTGAAGAAAAAAATTGGAGTTAATGTTTCAGGTCCGGTGACCCTTCCTCAGAACTTTGGAAGCATCAGCATTGTCTGACATAAGGTAAGTACAATGCAAAACCTTAAGTGTTAACTTACAGGATTTGTTTTCTACAGTTCAAGAAATGAAACATTTCTCCTGAAGTTATTACTCATCGAGTCACAAACAAAGTACTGATGTTTTGCATTAATATAGTAAGCAAGTATAAACCACATTGTAATCTTGTAAAGAATCAACTGACAATCTGAGTAGATCTATTCAACATTCCCAAATTAAATTTAAATTTAATTGATTTTACTGGAAATTCTGCCAGAAGAACTTAACTTACGGAAGGCAGTTGCACTATCTCTCTCCGACTGGTCACTGCTCAGGAACATAGTAAGAGTTGAGTATGGTACGTGGAAACACTGCAAGAAGAGATACAACTAATCAGGTATAGTTCTCCGAGAATATCCCAGTAAAATTTATTCCAAAGTGAGTACCAGCAGAAATGCTGCTAAAATAAACATATCTGTCCCAGATCGTAGATTGTTTAACAGGTAGTTTTGATTACAAATTTTTATTTGGTTTCAAATGTTTGCATTGAATTATTTTTAATATTTAAAGAGTTCTGTGAAAGCATGCAGACTTTCATAAGGTCATTCAGACCAGTTAGTATTCAATCACTTCTGCTTGTAAAAGTGCATATTTTGCCTATTCAAAGCGCCTTCTGAAGGCAACAACAATAACAACAATTTATATTTGTATAGCGCTGTCAGCCTACTGAAATTTCCCAAGGCACTTCACAGAAGCTTATAAAGCAAAATATGGTTCTGGACAACATGAGGAAATATTAGGCCAAATGGTCAAACTTTTGATCAAAGAAGTAGGTTTTAAGAAATGTCTTAAAGAGGAAAGTGAGGTCATTAGACACAGAGGTCTAGGGAGGATTCCCAGAGCTTGGGACCTAGAAAGTTGAAGGTACATCCATCAGCAGTGGAGTGACTAACACTGGGAACTCACAAGAGGCCAAAATATGAGTAGCAGAGATACCTCAGAGGTGAGTGGGCCTGAAAATGATTATGGAGACAGAGAGGGACCATGCTGTGGGGGTGATTTAAAACAAAGGAAAGTTCTAAAGTATTGTGGGTGATAGAGACATAGGACTTGTTGGGAGGTAGCAGAAAGGTTTTGGATGGTCAAGTTTACGGATAGTAAAACCAGTCAAAAGTACATCGGAATAGTTGAGTCTGCAGATAACACAGGCACAAATGAGAGAATGAGCAGCAGACAAATCCTGACAGGGACAAAGTCATTTGATGCTACAGAGGTTAGTGATTGAGGTTGGAGCTCATCTCAGGATGAAATGTCGCACCAAGATGAACAAACATTGATCTCAGATTGCTGCCAGCGGGACAGATGGAGTAAGTAGCTAGGGTATGGAGTTTGGATCAGGAACCACTAGTCTTCTTCATTCTTTTCAATACTTAATTGAGGATCTACATGCTGACCTGGTCACTACTCTAGAATAGAGACCTCCAACTTCCTTGTATCAGGGAGGATTTAAAACAGGCAGCAGTAAGCTTATGACATTGTTCACAAGGTGATGATAATAACACCGAGCACCCCACCCCATTTCCCATGGAACAGAGACTGAGATTTTAAGTAAGTCACAATCTGGAATGGAAATTATCCCAAGGATTTTGAAAGTAAAAGGTACAATGTGAGATGGCTATATTTAAAAAGCAGGAAGCAGGCTTGTGTTAGAGATTTCGGATGGGATGGAATTTGAATCCAGACAAGAAGAACTGCATTATGGAAACCAATAAGTGGTGAGTTTGGACAAGATAAGCAAGTGACAGAGGAACCAGATTGTTAAGAAAGGGAAACTGAAAGAACTGCGGATGCCGTAAATCAGGAAAAAAAAACAGAAACCGCTGGAAAAGTTCAGCAGGTCTGGCAGCATCTGTGAAGAGAAATCAGACTTAACGTTTCGGGCCAAGTGACCCTTCCTCAGAATGGGTCCGAAGAAGAGTCACTTGACCCGAAACATTAACTCTGATTTCTCCCCACAGATGCTG